CCCCAAAACCCCAAAACCCCAAAACCCCAATTTATCTAAAAATTTGTTAATAAAAATGAGAAAAAGAGCTGAAATTGAAGCAGAGATTACTCAAGATGATATAGAGCTTATCAAGTGCGAAGAACACAACTCTGATGAAGAGCTTGGGGATGGAGACGAGGATGTTAACCACCAGCAACGAAGAGTCCTTGGGATTGAAGATATGTTGGAGGGGTCAGGCGGATTTGGAAATATTCAAATCTGGACTTTTAGTTTGTGCATTTTGGTAGGATGTATGAGCACGACTTTTATTCACACAATGCCTTTTCTTGAAAAATATCCAAGTCTTGTGTGTCAGCATGAGGATGGGAAGATGTATTTTTGAGAAAAGAAGGATATTTGTAGTAATGGAGAGCTAATTCCGGGTAAATAAATGGGGTATAGACGATCATGATGACCAGACATTGACTCATGTAATTCAAAATTATTCAAGAGCTTAATAATTTTATCGAGGTTTTAAATCTATTCAGTTTCTGAACAGTCTCATTCTTTATTATAGAATTGGATAACTCAAATGAACCTGTACTGAGAAAGTAATTTCAACATTGGCTTACTTGGAAGCGTATATTTCGTAGGATTTGTGCTCAGTGGTTTCATACTAATGCTTGCAGATGTATATGGAAGGAAAAAATTGACGATAATTGGGACTTTTGTCACAACGATTTGAATATATGGGTTATTCTACTGCACTGATATCACTCATGCGTATATATGGCTATTCCTTACAGGCTTATCAATATTCAGGCTATACTCAATTTACATGCTTTCCATGGAAATTACTAGGAAAAAGTCTCAAATATACATAAGTTCAATTTTCCTTGCAGGAAAGGGATTAATTTCTGTAATGATTCCGTCATTCTACTTCCTTCTAGGCGGAAAGAACTGGCGGATTCCTTACAGCTTTGCTATAATAATGGCTCCTTTGCTATGTGTATTGACCTTCTTCATCCCTGAGTCTCCAAGGTATTACTATGAGCGTAGGATGTACCCCCAGTTAAGGAACTTGATTAGGAAATTTGCTAAGACTAATGGAGCTAAGATGGATCATAATTATGATATTGATAAGGAGATTGAGGATATTAGGTTGAAGAGTAAGGGCAAAAGTGGGGAGAAGTCCAAGTTTTATTATTTGAAGGATAGACTTATCTTTTGGAATTTATGTGTGGTGATAATTTGATTCATTGCTGTCTCTTTTGACTCATACCTAATAGGGTTTCATATAAAATATATAAAAGGAAATCTTTATTTTCTAACTATTGTGTCAACAGTTTCTGATTGAACTGCGACAATGCTAGCTGGGCTATTACAAAAATTGCTTAACACCAAAAGGACTCTATTAATCTCTTACATATCAGCAATGATCTGAGGACTTCCCCTCATTATCTCTTCAGATACAAAATGGTTGATTCCTTTCTGAATTTTTGGTGCTAAATTTGGCTTAGCAGTTGGATTTAATATGATATATTTCATAAATTCAGAAATTTTCCCGACTCTTTTTGTCTCGTTTGCATTCACAGTGGGAAATATCTTCTCAAGGAGTGTAACAATTTTTGCCCCGTTAGTTGCCGAGATACCTGAACCAACTCCCATGAAGCTGTTCTGTTTTGCTGCACTGGTAGCCTCTGGGGCAACTTTCCTGCTAAGCTCCCAGACTAAGGAAGAGAACCCAGCAGAGACACGTAAGAAAGATGAATCTTCAAAGAAGTAATTATACATTTAAATCTAAGATTCCTCTAGAAATCATAATGGGGTTTTGGGGTTTTGGGGTTTTGGGGTTTTGGGG